GGCTTTGCCCTCCAACACCCCCAGACACAGCAGAGAGCAGATGCAGCCAGGCTGAGGCAGCCAAAATCCACCCAGGACCAAAGCAGCCAACACCACTGAAACCAGCACGGGGAATCAGAGATTCTGGGAGAGCTGGAGCCTCTGCAATCAGGTAATTAAAGGTAATTAATTTCCTATGTTCTCAGCTCCAGGTAGAGAATGCTGCATTTGTCTGACCCAGAGCAGCAACAGAACACAAAGGTGACATGGCCAAAAAAGTCACCAAATGCAGCCACCTGGCCAGAAACTGCAGTGAGAGAACAGAAGATTTCCCCTCCTCTACAGAAAACTAAAGGGAAAGGGAAAGGAAAGGAAAGGAAAAGGAAAGGAAAGGACCAATGGAAGTTTTATAAATAGCTCAACAGAGCAGAGTTCACAGATGGTAAGTGCTGGATTAAAATCTCTCCTCACAGTTTACTTTTCCATTTTAGATTTTGTGCTCTATTTTTGGCTCAGCAACAAGCAAGGAGTTTGTCAGCTGTGCTAATTGCAAAATAGTACAAAAATAAAACCCTGTTTACGTTCTCCCTAAAAGCCAATACTGCACAAAGACATTTTTCCTGCGTTACAGCACTCAGGAGGCACAGGACACGCGGCTGCTCAGCCGTGGGTTTCTCAACAGGCATTTCTGTTATGAAAACACCTCTCTCCTTGCTGGAACCTTGTTTAGAGTAGAATCAAACCCTGCCAAATATTCCTCTCTACCTGTTAATGGATGAAAGGAAGCTGGAGAACGCAGGCCATGGGACAGGTGATTTTATGGAGGAGTCAGTCACCCGTGCAATGTTTCCACAAACACAACCCCGGAGAGTTCCAGCCCCAGAAAGGCTCCAAACAGCACCAGCCCCACGTTCCATCGGGGTTTGGGCTCCTCAGAGGTGCCACTGATGGCAGCAGAGAACTTTGCCCTCCATAAATACAGATTGAGCAGCAAGTTTTTATTGGTCTTCTGTTATTGAGGTGTATCTGTGCAATTCTGACACTTCACCATCCAGAAAGCAAGAATTTAATCTGCACCTCCGAACACTCCACAGCCAGAGAAAATCCTGCTCCCAAATCCCACTTATTGGGGTTTCTGAGACCCCTGCTCAACTCCTGCTGAAGTGAGGCAGCCATTCAGCAGCACTGATTATTGTGCACAGCCTACACACTCTTCCCAGAATTTCTTCCTAGGAAACATTTCAAAAATGACATTTGATTTGAACACCTCTCAGCAAAGTGAATGGCCAGCAGATCCAGTGATCAGGCACTGCATTACAGCCCTGACACAGAGAGGGGGAGAAAAAGCACTGCAGCTTTAATTATGCCAATTATTATAAATGACCAACTCAAGGGCTTACAGCAATTTTCACCTGAACACGGCCAAGGGAGCAGGTAATGACTCAGAGCTGCTCCTGAAGGAAAGGAGCCCCAGGGAAAGCAGTCTCCTGAAAACCCTAACTTTATTTTATTTCTTACACAGGAAGTGTGAAAACGTGGAGGACACAACATTCCTGGGGAAGCTCCAACTGCTGCTTCTCATTCCTGTTTAACTCTGGGCTAGCATTCTGTCAGAAATGCAGCTAAAACAAGGCTGCAAGATTCCTGTTCCCTCTGACCTGCAGGCACTGCAACAGGCAGGAGCCAGCCCTGGGGGAGGAACATCTGCTCCCTGCTCACAGACAGAGGGACAGAGCAGCTGCTGAGCACCGCAGAGCCTCTGGACAGCTCCATCCCAGCATCCCAACATCCCTGAGCCTCTGGGACAGCTCCATCCCAGCATCCCTGAGCCTCTGGGACAGCTCCATCCCATTATTCCTGATCCCTGAGCCTCTGGGACAGCTCCATCCCATCTTCCCAACATCCCTGAGCCTCTGGGACAGCTCCATCCCAGCATCCCTGAGCCTCTGGGACAGCTCCATCCCAACATCCCTGAGCCTCTGGGACAGCTCCATCCCAACATCCCTGAGCCTCTGGGACAGCTCCATCCCAATATCCCTGAGCCTCTGGGACAGCTCCATCCCAGCATCCCTGAGCCTCTGGGACAGCTCCATTCCATTATTCCAATATCCCAGAGCCTCTGGGACAGCTCCATCCCAGAATTCCACCCCGCACCCCAGAATTCCTCCCCGCACCCTGGGAATTCCTCCCTGAATCTTGGAATTCCACCCCACATCCCAGAATTCCACCCCACATCCTGGAATTCCTCCTCCCGAGCCAATCCCGGCCCCAGCCCCGCCGGTCCCGTCCCCGCCGGGGCACCTTGGCCGAGCTCTCCCCGCTCCGCTGGCAGCGGCTCCGCTCCTGCAGCTTCTCGGCGATGTCCTGGGCCAGCTGGCGGGCGGCGGCCAGCAGCGGCAACCTGGGATAATGGGATAATGGGATGGGATCCATGGGATGGGATCCATGGGATGGGCTGGGATCTCATGCGATCAGCCAGGATGAGCTGGGACCCACCAGGAATGGCTGGGATCAGCTGGGATGGACTGGGATCTCATGGGATCAGGCAGGATGGGCTAGGATGGGCTAGAACCTGCCAGGAAGGGCTGGGATGGGCCAGGATCTGATGGGATCAGCTGGGATCTGATGAGACCCGCTGGTATAAGCCTCGGGAGGGGAAAGCACAACACCCCCAAAACACACAGCCCCAAAGCCTGGGATGGGCTTTGGGAAAGGAACCTGGGAAGGGCAGCACAGACCCCAAACACAAACACACCGGGATGGGCTTTGGGAAGGCAGAGACCCCAAACACAAACACAACCACACCGGGATGGGCTTTGGGAAGGCACAGACCCCAAACACAAACACAACCACACCGGGATGGGCTTTGGGAAGGCACAGACCGCAAACACAACCACAACCACACCGGGATGGGCACACCGCGCCCGCCCGGCCCCGCTCCCCTCACGCTCCGCAGCCCCCGCGGGGCGGGTCCCGGCCCGGTCCCGGCCCGCAGCCCCCGCCCGGCCCGGCCCGGAGCTCACCAGGGGTCCGGAGCCATCGCGGCCCCGGAACCCGCCCGGAGCTTCCGCCGGATCCGCCCGGACGCGCAGGCGCCGGGAGGGGACGGAGGGGAAGGGAAACGGGAGAGGGAAATGGGGGAGATGGAGAGATGGGGAGAGATGGGGAGAGATGGGGAGAGATGGGGAGATGGGGAGATGGGGAGCGGTAGCGGGGTTCGGGCCGGCCCCAGGGCGCGGCAGTGCGGGCAGCGGCGCCGGTGGCAGGGGGGAGGGCAGGGCCGGTGCTCCGGACAGAGGGACAGATACGCGAGGCGCAGGGACAGATGCAGATGTTGGGGGTTTATAGGGGCAGAGGTTCCGTGCACAGAGGTTTGCAGTGCAAGGTTTGCAGGTGTTCAGGGTGTACAGGTGCAGATGTGCACAGCACAGAGCCACAGCTGTCCCCACCCCTCCCTGCTGCCACAGAAACGCAGCGCTGAGCGGTGGCAGCAGTTCCCTTCTCCAGCGCTGTCCCCTGTCCCTGCCCATCTGCGGGGACAGCCGCTGCCCACGCCGATGTCGCCGTGCCCCGGTCCCGGTGCCACTGGCGGTGCTGGCACTGTCGCTGTTTCGGCTCCGAGCCCTTCCCACCCCTGACTTTTTTTTGCCCTCTCCCTTTGTTTTTGGGGGCGACCGGTGACGCAAATCGGGCACAAACCCGAGGAGTTTGACAGAGCTGGCGAGGCTCTGTCTCCCTCGTGACGCGGGGCCGTGCTGATAACGGCAGCGATGACGGCAGCGATAAGGACAATCATAACAATAGTGATAACGATATTGAAACGAGAACGAGCGCATCTCCTCAGCACGTTCCCGTTCCCGGGACTGATCCCCGCTCTGCTCCCCCGTTCCCAGAACTGATCCCCGCTCTGCTTCCCCTTTCCCAGAACTGATCCTCGCTCTGCTCCCCCGTTCCGGGGCTCATCCCCGCTCTGCTCCCCCGTTCCGGGGCTGATCCCCGCTCTGCTCCCCCGTTCCCAGAACTGATCCCCGCTCTGCTCCCCCGTTCCCAGAACTGATCCCGGCTCTGCTCCCCCGTTCCCAGAACTGATCCCGGCTCTGCTCCCCCGTTCCCAGAACTGATCCCGGCTCTGCTCCCCCGTTCCCAGAACTGATCCCCGCTCTGCTCCCCCGTTCCCAGAACTGATCCCCGCTCTGCTCCCCCGTTCCAGGGCTGATCCCCGCTCTGCTCCCCCGTTCCGGGCTGGGCTCTGTCCCCCGGCCCGGCTCTCCGCACCCCCGTGATGCTCCCGCAGCCGCGGCCATCAAACATTCATGGCCTTCGGCTGCACTGCTCAGCCCGAGCCCCACGGCCTCTACATATTTCATATTTCGCAGGCAGGGAGGCAGATCAGGAACAACCTGCGGCTGCTCTTATCACACCAGAAACAATCCGATTTTAAAGGCAAATAAACATCCTTTAAAAGCCTGGGATGCCTATAAAAGTGCCCGCTGAGCGCAGCCCGAGCTGAGAGTTGTGCGCAGCGCTGCGGGACCGGGTCGGTGTCCCGGGAGCCTCTCGCAGCTGCTGGAGCCGCTTTTCCTCCGGCTCAGCTCCTCCGTGCGTGGGCACAGCGCTCACTGTGCGGCTCCGCAGCGCGTCCTGAGGCTGGGACCGATCGGTGCCAGCCGGTGCCCGGGGCACACCGGGACCGCCGGCGCCCCGCAGCAGCCACAGCCGAGCGGGAGCACGAAGGTTATCCTGGGGAAAATAAAGGGCTCGTTTACTGCTCCTGTTGCTGTTTGATGCTATCTCGGCCCACGGGGTGTTTACAGCCCCCGGCCGGGCCCGGCGCGGAACCGGGGCAGGAAGGGGCGATGCGGGCGCGGAGCTGCTCCACCCTCGCTGTGTTTACCCCAAATAAACCCCGCGGCCGCGGGCTGGCCGCACCTTAAGAGCGCGGGCAGGTGCGGGGCAGAGCGGAGCGCGGGGTGGCCGAGCTGGCCCACGCTGCGGGTGGGGCTCAGCCCGCCCCGCTCCCCATGGCCGAGCCGGCCGCGGGCGAGGACTCGGGCACCGGGCGAGGTGAGTGCCGGGCGGGTCAGAGGGGCTGGGCACGGCCCGGTGCCTGCCCGAGTCCCGCGGGGTCAGAGGGGCTGGGCACGGCCCGGTGCCCGCTATCAGCCCCGCGGGGTCAGAGGGGCTGGGCACGGCCCGGTGCCCGCCCCGAGCCCCGCGGCTCGGCCCGGGCGGGCAGAGCTGGATACTCCGTTCGGCACCCGGGGCCGGGCACGGCGGGGCTCGGGCTGATGCTCCGCGGTACCCGGGCAGCGCCCTGAGACAGCCGAGGTGAATTTGGGGCGCAGACAGCCCCGGACCCACCGCCGGTGCTGTCTCAGGCTGGTTCCTGCGGCCAGGAGCCCCCGTGCCCGTGCTGGGGTCAGGCTGTGTCCGGGCCAGGAGCGGCTCCGGACCCGGCAGCTCCGGCCCCGAGCGAGCCTGAGCCCGGCCCGCTGCTCCGGCTGGCCTCGGGCAAGCGCCGAACTGAGCAGGAGAGCCAGGGCCGGGGCTGTGCCACCACGGGCTGTCCCCGTGTCCCCTTGGCTCAGTGTGAACCCATCCCTGACCCCCCAGCACGGGCACGGGCACGATACAACCCCCAGAGTTAATGAGTGCGCTAATTGGCGTTATCCCGCCGTTCATGAGTGCCCAGCGGAGCTCAGGCACCGGGCTGGGGCTGCCGAGCCCTGCCCCGGGGCTGGCAGCGTTCGGAGGGGTGAAAAGCCCCTCGCGGTGTGAGCAGCAGCCCTGACACCAGCTGGGACCCGGCCCCGCACTTCTCGGGGCCCGGAGCTGATGGAGAGGGCAAAGCCTGAAACGCTTCCCTTTGCAGGGGAGAGCAAAGAAATCCAGGACGTGGCCGTGAGGCTCCAGAGCGCCCCGAGCCAGGCTGGGGTGGCGAAAAGTGCTCAATAAACGCTCTTTGTCCTGCAGAGGTGCTCGGCTCGGCCCCAGTCACCATCGTGGTCACGTCCGAGGCCGACACCTGGGACATCGACACCTCCTCGTGCCGGGGCCGCGGGCCCTTCGTGGACTGGGACAAGGTGCCGGAGCCGCGGGGGCCGGCGCCGGTGCCGCGGGACGTGCTGGGCAGGCCCCCGAAGGAGCTGAAGCGGCTGGCGAGGGAAGGCTGCTGGGCCCGGAGCCACGCGGGCCGGGCCCGGCTCTACCCCCGGCTCATCCAGCGCGTCTCCTGCCGCCTCGTCACCCCCGACGCGCCCGCGTACCGGGACGTGGCCGGCCGGCTCTTCGGGAAGCGCAGCGTCAGCTCCCACCCGCTGCCCGAGTTCCTGGAGGGCTGCCCCGTGCCCACCTACTGCCTCAGCCCGCACGGGGTCACGGCCCTGAAGAAGATCCTGGTGTGCGTGGGCGCCCTGTTCCCCGACATCACGCACAGCCCCCTGCTGCCGGCGCTGGCCGCGCTGCTGCTGCACTACAGCGAGGACGAGGCCCAGTGCTTCGAGAGCCTCTCGCGCCTCATCGCCAGCAACGCTCCCCACGCCGCCTACATCGACCAGTCCTTCCTGGCCCACCAGGCCTCCTGCATGACCTTCGGGGACCTGGCCAGCAAGCACTGCCCGGCGGCCCACAAGCTCATCGCCGGCGCCGCCGACAACGTCCTCGAGGTCTACTCGGAGTGGCTGTCGTGGCTCTTCCCCGGGCTGCCCTTCGGCTACGCCGTGCGCGTGCTGGACGTGTTCCTGCTGGAGGGCCAGAAGGTGCTGTACCGCATCGCCCTGGCCCTGCTGAAGCAGTTCCGGCTCTCGGCGGCCCCGGCCGGGCTGCAGGGCTCCGACGTCAAGGCAGAGCTGCAGGCTTTCGTCAGGAACATCGCCAAGCACGTGTCCGCGGACAAACTCCTGGAGAGAGCCTTCGGCATCCGCCTCTTCTCCCGCAAGGAGATCTGGCTGCTCCACATGGCCAACAGGAAGGCCTTGGTGGAGAGGGGCATCACCGTGGTGCAGAGAAGGTGAGGAGAGCTCTGCGCTCCCCAGCTCTGGGGCTGAGCTGCCGCAATGTGAGTTCCTGTGGAGAGCCCCGGGGCAGCTGCAGGAACCTCCCACAGCTGTGGCTGGGCTGGGCCCTCGCAGCCCCTGGGGGACCCTGTCAGGGGACAGGGACAGCAGAACTGGGGACCCTCTGAGGGGACACGGCACAGCAGAGCAGGGACCCTGTCAGGACACAGCAGAGCCAGGACCCTGTCAGGACACAGCAGAGCAGGGACCCTGTCAGGGGACACGGCACAGCCAGACCAGGGACCCTGTCAGGGAACACAGCACAGCAGAGCAGAGCAGGGACCCTGTCAGGGCACAGCAGAGCAGGGACCCTGTCAGGGCACAGCAGAGCAGAGCCAGGACCCTGTCAGGACACAGCAGAGCCGGGACCCTGTCAGGGCACAGCAGAGCCGGGACCCTGTCAGGGCACAGCAGAGCCGGGGATGTTGGCACAGAGCTCACGGTGCAAAGGGCAGGGCAGAACCTGCTGCAGGGACTGTGGCCCGAGAAGCAGAGGGGCCCCAGCCCGGCCTGATGTCCCTCCCCTGGCAGGCCGTCCTTCCACCTGGCCGTGGACATGCAGAAGTTCAGCTCCAGCACTGTCACGGCGCAGGAGATGCGCCTGGTCTGGTCCTGGATCCCCGAGCGCTTCTCGCTCTTCCCCCCGCTGCTGCTCTTCTCCACCTCCGAGGACGGCTGCAGCCTGCAGAGGTGAGGCCTCACCTGCCCCGGGGCCGGGCGGCTCGGGCGGGCGGGGAGACCCGGGCAGGGCTTGCTGCTGGAGAAAGGAGCAGCACAGGTGACCTGGGCCACCTCTGGGGCTGCTGGGGACCCTCCTGGGCTCGATTCGGGCTCCCGAGCGTGGCTTAGGGGAGAGGGCAGAGGTGGCCCAGGTGGCACCAACACCTGGGCACCGGCCGGGGCACAGGGAGCCCCGTGGGTGTGCCAGGACACCCACCCCGTGCCAGGCAGGCTGCGGGCGGCCAGGGACAGCAGCACACCCTGCCCAGGGCTCCAGCTCCCCCCGAGCCCGCCCTTGTCCATCTCTGCAGGTTCTACACGTGCTGTGAAGGCTACGAACCCACGGTGCTGCTCATCAAAACCACCGAGGGGGAGGTGAGCGTTTCCCAGGCAGGGCTGGGCAAGGGGACGGGCTGGGTGACCCCACGGGCGCTTCTGGAGCGCCCAGGGGCCGTGTGGTCCCTGTCCTGCCCTGCCCGGGTCTGTGCCAGCTCCCAGGACAGAACAAACTGCACCTCTGGCCGCCAGGACACACCTCAGCCGGGGTGCGGGGAAACAGGAGGAGAGTGAGGGGAGAGAGGCCACGAGTGAGACTGACCCACCCTGGGCTCCCTGTGCTCTCTCCCGAGGTGTGTGGGGCGTTCCTCTCCTCCGACTGGGCCGAGAGGAAGAAGAGCGGAGGCACCTCGGGCTTTTTTGGGACAGGAGAGTGCTTTGTGTTCACTGTAAGTCTCGGTTTGTGTCTGGGGGTGTCCTGGCAGGACCCCCTGTCCCGTCCCTGCCCGGGTGCGGCCCCTGCCCGCAGCCCCGGCAGCAGCAGCCGCCCCTTCCCGGCGGTGCCGGGGCTCAGCGGGTGCGTCCCGCTGCAGGTGCGCCCCGAGGCTGAGAGGTACGAGTGGGTGCTCATCAAGAGGCCCGAGCTGGCCAAGGCCGTGCCGCGCTCCCGGCAGCGCTCGCCTTCCCCCGCTCCCGAAGCCCTGCCCGGCTCCTCCGGGGCCAGCTCCAGCCCCAAGCACCTGGCCGTGCCCTCGCCGCAGAGGAGAGGCCGCCTGTCCCCGTTCCTGGCCGCCAGGCACTTCTTGCTGCCCTCCGAAACCGCCTCCATGTTCATGGCCGGCTCCCGGGACGGCATCGTTATCGGTAAGGGGGATCGATATTGGTAAAAGTGATCGTTATCGGTAAGGGGGATCGATATTGGTAAAAGTGATCGTTATCGGTAAGGGGGATCGATATTGATAAAAGGGATCGTTATCGGTAAGGGGGGATTGATATCGGTAAAAGTGATCATTATCGGTAAGGGGGATTGATATTGGTAAAAGGGATCGTTATCGGTAAGGGGGGTCGGTATCAGTAAGGGGGGATCGATACCAGTCAAAGGGGTCGATATCTATAGGGGAGGATCGCTATCAGTAATGGGGGATCCCTATGGATGAGGGGGGGTCTCTGTCGGTAAGGGGGGATTGATATCAGTAAAAGGGCTCCATATTGATAAGAGGGGATCGATATTGATAAGGGGGATCCCTGCTGGCTCCCCGCAGCTCCGGCTGGGATATGGGTTCAGGTCTGGGCAGCCAGGCCAGCTCCTCTTCCCGCAGCCCGGGAGCTGCTCCCGAGCCCCGGGGGAGCCCCAAATCCCTGGGGGAGCCCCAAATCCCCGGGGGAGCCCCAAATCCCCGGGGGAGCCCCAGAGCCCCGGGGGAGCCCCAAATCCCCGGGGGAGCCCCAAATCCCCGGGGGAGCCCCAAATCCCCGGGGAGCCCCAGAGCCCCGGGGGAGCCCCAAATCCCCGGGGGAGCCCCAAATCCCCGGGGAGCCCCCCAGCCCCGGGGCAGCCCCCAGCCCGGCCGCGCTCGCTCCGCAGGTGGAGGGGGGGGCCAGGCGCTGGCCCTGGACGCCAGCCTGCTCCGGGGGCGCACAGAGCGCTGCGACACCTTCGACAACGCCCCGCTCTGCCGGGAGAACTTCCAGGTGCAGCTCCTGGAGGCGTGGGGCTTCCAGAGCGCCTAGTTCCCGTGGGGACACCCCCGTGTGCCGCCCCGGCCGGGCGTGGGTGAAGCTCCAGCTCCTCAGCTGGCATCCCGAGCTGTGGGGAGGCGATGCCAGGCACGGGGAGAAACAGCAGCGGGTTTGCCCAGAGAGGGGATGGGCACTGCCTGGGGCTGTGCCATCCTCAGCAGGTGCTCTGGGTGGAGCCGAGGGCACTCAGACTGTTATTGGAAATGCAGGCAAACCCAATGGGAAGAAATTACGATGTGTGACTCAATTCAGAAGGCTGAATGATTTCTTTATTATAACTGTGCTAAAATACATTCATATACTATATAAAAGGAGGATATTAAAACTACATACTACTTTCTCTGACTCTAACTCTAACACAACTGGTGACCCTCTCTGAGAGTCCAGCCCCAGGTGGGTTGGATTGGCCATCAGGCTCAAACAATCCTCACAGAATCCAACCAAGCACTCACCCCAGGGAAACAATTCTCCACACATTCCACATGGGAAAAACAAGGAGCAGAAATAGAAATTGTTTTCTCTTTCATTTCTCTCTGTGCACCTCTATGAAAAATCCTGAGAGGGAGAGAAATGTCCTTGCCACACTCAGACCCTTCCCAAGGCCTCCCGTGCTGATCCTCGTGGGAATTCCCTGCCAGCCACCAATTCCCACTCGGGTTTCGTTGGAGCTGCTGCTCTCACCCAGCCCAGCGTGGGCTCCCCAGCACAGAAGCTGCACAGCTGTCCTGGAGCCGCTCGGCAGGAAGGATCCCGGGGGCTGTGTCCCCGCAGGACGACGAGGGACAGAGCAGTCTGTGCTTCGGCATCCCTGTCCAGGGTCCTGCGTGCCCTGCAAGGACAAGGGGCCCCCCTGAGCTCAGCCACAGCTTGAAGCTGTCCCCAGGCACCCGCCCTGCTCTGAAGCCTGGGGTGTGCAGAGAGCAGGCACAGAGGGGCAGAGGGGCTGTCCGAGGTGGCAGCGCTGCCAGCACAGCTGTCCCCGTGCCCCCGCAGCCTGGCCCGGCTGCTCCGACAGGGAGCATCCCTGCTCCATGCACGGCCGCCGCTGCAGGCGGACGGGAGGGAATCCGCCTGCCCCGGGAGGAAGGAACGATGCTCGTGGGAGCAGCGCAGGTAGAAATCCTCACGGAGGGTGGCATCCTCACCCAGGGCCTGCCCGGCTCTGCCTGCAGAGACATCCCAGGGAACGTTTGCTCCTGGCTCAGTGCAGCAGCAGAAGCGCTCGGGTGTGTGGCAAACACATTTCGCTCCCTCTCAGGATTTTTCATAGAGGAGCACAGAGGAAAGAAAGAGGATGTGGCAAGACTCGACTGCAGGAGTCCAGAAGGAGGAAAAGCCAGAGACTCAACAAGGGAGGCCAGTCAATAGTCACATCCTCCATCCTGCTCACACCTGGGGTCTTCCTGCCCACTGCAGCCCCTGTCCTGCTCAGGGCTGGCATGGCTCACGGGGCAGCCTCCCTGCACTGCCCCGGAGCTGGCCTTGCCTCCCTGGAGCTGCCCAGGGCGGGCAGGGGGGACGGGCACTGCCCGGGCACATCCCCTGCCCCAGCTCAGGTCTGCACCATCCCCGAGCGCAGGAACTGCTCCCAGCTGGGAAAAGGCTCTCAGCCCATCCAGGGAGACAGGAAACATCTGCATTGTCCCAGCTGGCGGGTGCTCTGCAAGCACAGGATGTGTCCATGAAACAGCCCATTTCCCCTGGCGGGCTGTGCTCAGGTGGGACACGTGCAGCCCCACCAGCTCTGCTCCACCAGCTCCTGCCCAGCCCCTCCAGCTGTGATCCATCATCTCCTGCCCATCCCCACCAGCTCTGTTCCACCAGCTCCTGCCCAGCCTGGACGCTCTGTCCATCGGGGAGGGAGGGAGGGAGGGAGGGATGTGTGGCACATGCAGTTCACCCTCTCCACAGCTAAATGGAGGCCTCTCAGTGCTAAACTAAATTAACCTTGAAAAATTCATTTCACAAATGACTGCGGCAATTAGCTGCTCTTAATGAGCTGCTTCACTCCGCCTGATGTCTGGAGGTCCTGGAGGAAATCAGGATCTGCTGCTCATGCCCCTGACAGCTGACAGGAGCTGGCAGCCCCTTCCCACCTGCTGCCAGGGAGGAATTCCCACATTTGTGCCTCCAGTTTTCTGCACACAGGTTTCCAAGCCCACTGAAGGCTCCCGAGGGCAAAGCTCTGCTGCTGCACCTGAATGTCAGAGACACAAACTGTGTGCCAGTGACACGAGCTGTGTGCTGCAGTGACACTGCCCAGGTGCAGCCCTGGTCTGTGCTGCACAATTTGCTGTCCAAAAGCCCTACACGAGCCCAAAGCTGGCATTTTTCTGTTTGAGGGATCAGAGAGATTTCTAGGGATGCCTCTGATTCCCTCCCTGGGTCTCCCTTCTTGCTGTGGCCTCAAGCAAACACTATTAAATCTAATGTGGATTTTTTCAAGTGTAACCTCCTCTTGTGAATGACCTGGACGCAGCACAAAGGCTCTCAATGTTCTGTTTTAAAAGCTATAACCCCATAAACATCTCCTGTAACAAAACCTCTAAACAGCTTAATATTTACTCATTAACCACTGGAAGAACACCAATGTTTTCTTTTATTTCCTTTCCCCAGTGCAGTCTGCTCAGCCCTGAGAGTTCCCTGCCCTGAGCCCACAGCTGGGATGGCCCCTATGGAACACTGGGCACCCAGAAATTCCTGCCAGGAATTCCCTGAGCAGTGCCAATGCACGTGCCTCTGGAATTTAGGTAAATCCCTTCCCACTGCAGCATCCCTGGCAGTGTGCACCCACGGGCACCACTGCAGGGGCAGCAGAGGAGAAAACACCAAGTATCAGGGGAGCTCCTTCCCAAAATCCCCGCGGAGCTGTCACCCAAAAACTTGAAAGCAGAGTGATCCAAACCAGAGCCCTCCAGCACAGGGCAAACCTGGATGCAACGAGCCTTGGAATCTGCTGCAGTGTCCAATTTTTGTGCCAGAAGTGTCAGGGAAACAAGGAAAGCCGGGGCAGGATGTTGTAGGGTTTTGCTGAGCTGCACGAAAAAAAAATGCGTGCAACAATTTGAAATGTCCCAAGGCGGAATCCAATCCGGCTGTTTTCCCAAAGCTTTGTCATTTCCTGGGCAGTATCACTAAAGAGGGATTGAAGTGCTCAAACCCACTCCAAGCGGGGTAGATTTTGCAATCCACCCCAGAGCTCTTTCTAAGGATTGCTCATGCTTGGCAGGCAGGCTGCTCTGGAAAAGCAGAAATCCTTCCAGCTCTGGCATTTTCTGCTCAGATCTGCTTTTCAGGAGCTGCTTGCCCACGGCACCGCTTCCAGCACATTCCATCCGTGGATGGTTGGGATGGGATGGACCTGCCAGGACACAGGGACAGGCCAAGAGCTCTGGCCATGCCTGGGCTGCAGGGTGCAGGTAAATAAATCCTGCTGCTCACTCCAGCCCCCCACACCCTGTGTGTGTGCCCCAGCCCTGGTCCTGCAGAGCCCCCAGCACATTCTCCAGGATTTAATCACCCCGGGGCTGAGGGGACATTCCCAGGCAGATCCCTCAAACCCAAGGACACAGAACTCTGTGAATTCACAGAATCCTGTGAATCCAAGCACACAGAACTCCCCCTTCCCAGCCTCCAGCCCTTTGCTGTGCCCAGGAGAAGGCAGCTGAGGGTGAGATGAAGCAGATCCAAAGGTTGCATTAACGCTGCAGACACTTATCAAGGCTTGCACAGCCAGGCCAGCAAACATCACCAGGGATCTGTGGGAAAAGTGGGATCCTCCTGGCAATTCACACTCCAACTGCTGCCTTATCTCCCACAAGCCTTATCTCATTCGAGCTGGAGCTATTTTCCTTTCAACCCAGTAAAAATGTGTCAGTTTTATATTTATATATTAGGCCACAATCCCATGGGAAATTAATTTGCCCAACAGCAGAAATCCTGTCATCACAGGCATCAGTCAGTCTGGGAATGGGGATCTCTAGACCAGGCCCTGAAATCAGGGAAATGGCTTAAAATAATAACCACGGGAGGATGTGGGAGACTGAGCAAATTACAGCAGCTCCTTCCTGACTGCAAATGCATTTGAGGCATTTTGTGGTGGGTACAAAATGCAGAGTCAGGGGCTCGGTGTGCCCCATCCCTGGGGGTTCCCTGGGGCATGGGGAGGGTCTCACCACACAAACCAGGGCATGGGGAGGGATGGTCCCCATTCTATCCCCGAATCTCCTGGATGTCCCCACAGACCCTGGGCATTGCCATGTCCCCACAGCTGTGCCACGGCAGCTCTGGGTGCCTGCAGTGCCCCAGGGAGCCTCATCCCACCCTCAGTGGGGCTCCCAGCACAGCCCAGCCGGGTTTGGGGGCCCGAGGCATCACCTGGGCTGGTGGAGGGGCAGGGACCCCCTTCCCTGTGGGGGCAGCTCCCAAAAAACTGCCACTGCATTTCTCTGGATAAATGGCACTTCTTCCTTCACATCCACAGCCTTCTTTTAAGCCTCAAAACGTTCATTTAAGCCTCAAAATGCTCCTGGGAGCTCTTGTCCTGCCCTCCCTGCTCTGGCTGGGCTGGGGCTCTGCTATCTCTCCACTTTCTAACACAGCCGAGCCCTCCAGGTGCCATGAATAAATCCTGTTTTCTCATGGAGACACTCCCACCTTTGAAAGCACTCAGGCTGGGCTGGCAGAATCCTGATTTTCAGCCAAAAACCACCAAAGCCACGCCAGCCTCTTCCCCTGGCCATTCTTTTCCCAGGAGAGCAAACCCCTAGTGGGCAGGAGCGAGGGCTGGGCGCTGAGGAGCTGGGCTGGGGGGATATCAGGGCTCTGGGGGACCCCACTTTGACACGGGTGGGAGCCTGGCAGCAGCAGAGCTGGGGAGCACAGCCCCCAGCCAGCTCCAGGCTGACGTCAGGGCAGCCCTGGCCATGGCTCCTCAGCACATACCTAATTTTCCCTTATAAGGCCAAGGAGAGCAATAACTCTCCTGGCAAGGGGATCAATAAAAACAGATGGTGGGCTCACAATTAGAGATTAAGCACATACCAATCCAGAACAAACAGGCCATAAATCATACGTGAAGGAGGGTATTTATAGTTTAGATCACATTCCTTAATTAATTCAAAATGGCCCAGAAAAGAAAATAATACCAAACTGCTCTTTTTCTGCTTTGTCCCTGCCTTGCTTTTGCAAAGCTGCATTCTTTCCTTGGGGTGCAGGGGCAGCCACGGG